TTAGTCCTCAGTACAATATATCAGCCAAAGACTGCAGCGGTCGCTCCTCATTTCACCCACTGCCAACGTGAGCTTTTCTTTGCTGCTACTATTGCCTCCTACTCTTCTTACGCCCCGTTCCAAATGTTTCCAGCATCCACCCGAGGCCAGGACAGTGTTGTGAAAAATGCAACCCGCTTTCCAGTCCCTCTCTCCAAAGCTTTCTGATACTGCCAGTTTCACTTTAGCCCCCAGGCAAGCTCCACTCTGGCTATGCTCAGAATTGCTAACTCTGTCATTACAACCTCACTCTCAGGTTTTGACCTCAGGGGACACAGTTCCGAGCTGAAAGAGGCTGCTCTTATTCCAAAGGGAAGCATTTGCTTCCTCTCTCAGGTCCGTTATGAGCTCCTGCTTTGCTGCTGTTGATAGATTCTCACTAACCTGAGCTTGCAAAGCTAATGCACAAGAAGCCTCTCTACTTCTCTGTTCAGTCTTCCCTTCCTCCTACAGGCAGCTTTTCTAAAACACCTATGAGAATAGCACAAAATCCGTACCCCTCCCATCTATGGTACTTATAAGTCCTTTATTGACATAGTGTTTGAGAGCCTCACAATCTTTCATGCATTTATTTTCCTGACTTCCTCTGGGGAGTGCTGATCCCCTACTTTACAGATGGGGTACTCAGGCGCAAAGAGAATAAGTGACTTGACCAAGGAGACATGGGAAGTCTGTGGCAGAGCAGAGAATTTAATCCAGGTCTCTGAGTCCCCAGCTAGTGCCCTAACCACTACACCATCCTCCCTCTCCTACACCATGTACTGGTAGGTGTAACACTTTAACTGTGAAAGGAGGTGAGGACATATACTATAACTCAAGCACCCTGGAAGAAGTGATCCCTTCTACTTATGCAATATTCTCAGTTAGTTTCCTGGAAAGTATACCAAATTGGAGTTAGAGCTGAATCAGTGTTGGGTGGATTTTATTTTTAGAGTATTTTATTTTGCTTTTGTTTATTTTGTGTCACAATCACTAACCCATCTACAAACATGACTGAGGCATGTAGGTTGGGCTGTTTTCGTACAGTGTCTTTGTTTGGAGAGAATTATTGGTTGCCTCTGAGCGAGAAGCATCTCTAATGAGTCAGCCGAATTCTCACTTGAGAACCAAGTATTCTGACATCTCGGTGGGGTGCACTGAAATCTGCTGCTAAGTCCAATGGGTCAATTTCAGAGTGAATCTCCATAACGTGCTCATATCATCTCTAGTCTTCTTGTGAGCTTTCTGGCTCCAATGTTAGTGTAAGCTCTGCTATTGTACTCTCCAACAACACTCAGTCCATTTCATTGGAACCAAAGAAAAGGCATTCCACCAGTTTCATACCCTTAGCTATTTCTGTTTATTTCACTTGCTTGTATGTGGTGTACAAGCAATGATCTGTAACAAATCCATAGCTGCCTAGACTCCACAATTAGGATTATGCTGCCACGCCACAGCCCCTCATGGCAAAAATGGGGAAGGGAGAAACAATACAATGATTAATTTATTAACTTATGGTTATTTTTAATTATGGTTCTTCGTCTCCCAGTAGTGCATTGGGGTCCCATTGTGCTAGGCACTATGCAAACACGTACTCAGAGAGACAGTCCCTTCCATGAATAACTGACAGTGCAGATAGACAAAGAGTGGGAGGTAGATGGAGAGATAAAGAAATGAGATTTGCCCAAGGTCACACAGCAGGCTAATAGCAGAGCTGGGAATAGAGCCCAAATCTTGTGATGCCCAGCCATGCAATTGCTCTTGAATGGGAGGAGGGCACCCGCAGTGTTTCACGAGCCTGCAGAGTCTCACTATTAGGGGAGCCTGGGGGATTATTCACAAGAGCTTGAAGCACCAGTACTGGTGACACGTACCATTGCTTGGGAAGAGCTGCTTTGTACCATCTCCCCGAAGGGGAGCTTTTGATGGGCTCCTGGGTGCTTTCAGTCACCATGAAAACGTTTCAGGAAGCTGACACGTCTCACCGGAGTTCAACTCACCCAGCCACATGAGTCACGTCAGCTGCTAGTCTCATGTTTGTGCAGAGGGTTGTCAAATCAAGTGGGTGGGAGGGAGCATCCGCCCCAGCTTAAAGAAGAGCTGCTATGTTATTTTTTTTACCCCAGCTGTCAAATATTTTACACCTCTTGTGTCTTGTTGTTTCCTTAGGCGTTTTCATTTGCTTCGGCATTTAGGATTAAACACCATTTCAAAACAGACAGTCTGTTTTGAAATGGTGTTTAATCCCCAATGCAGAGGCAAATGAACATGTCTAAGCAAACAACAAGACACAAGAGGTGTAAAATATTTGACTCAGCCGGCAGATATTATAAGGGTCACTCGTACAGAAGACCCAGAGATATATTTAAATGAGCATTTTCCTACCATAAATACTAAAAACCCATAGAATTATCTCTTTAATCCCAAAGCATCTTTACTGACCTAGGGAGTGGTACAGCATTGCCATTCATTCCTGTCCCTGGTTTGTCCCTCCAGTAAGCCCAGCCTGGTCGTGTCCCTGCACACGATATCCCGCCATCTAATCAATGGTCAGTCTCATGGTCGGACTGACTTCAGTTGTGTTTGCATTATTTCCCTGGGCGTCCTGTCATCTGTTTGTCTTCTGCAGGGCCCCACTATCACAATCTTTTTGATTGTAGCTAATTCTGTACCCTGATTTCACATCCAACTCGCCTTATAACTTCGTCTTAAAATCATTCCCTTTTATACCTTCGGTCGTTCAAAAACACCCTCTCATCTCTACAGCCTCCAGCCGTCTGATGTCTCTTTCATTTAATGCAGCTGGTTCCAAATCATAGAGTAATACTGTTAGTACACTGGGCTTGATAAATTTTCACTTTGGTACCAAATAGAATGCTTTTATCAGTCCATAATTTTGTCAGTTTCTGTGCAGCCCTTGTAGTTAGGGGACATCCTCTTTTAACGTCATCCTCGATGGACCGTCCTCACTGATAGAACTTCCTAGGTACACATAAGATTTTACTTTGTTCTACAACTTCACCATTGCTTCATTTCAACACTTTATGGATTGTCCCTTTTCCAAGTTGTAACCACTTTGTCTTCTTAGCATTTACTCTCAATCCAAGTCGATTGCATTTCAATCTTCCAAGGTAGCAAAGAGTATCCTCGTTATTTCAAATGTGGCTAATAGTTGTACGATGTTATCTGCATAAGCGAAGAATCTTAAATCTAGCTTATCCAGTGTCATGCCCTGCAATGTGTCTAACATTCTTAATGTCTAGTTTAAAAACATGATGAAAAGCAATAGTGATTCCATGCCCCCTTGTCTTGCACCAAGTTTTGATTTGGAATTATTCATAGATTCATAGATTCTAGGACTGGAAGGAACCTTGAGAAGTCATCGAGTCCAGTCCCCTGCCCAATTATACAACATTTACAAAAAAATTAGGCATGCAGGGTTGAATTCAGAGGCTTTTGCTCTTTAATCATCCAGGCAGAACTCTTACTGAATTCAGGGAAGCTTCTGCCTGAGTGAGGCTTGAGTAAAAAACCAACAGTAAGGACTTTGGAATTTGGTCCACAGTAAATAAGCCCTGCGTCCATAGCTCCATTAACAGAAATGATGCAAAAGAGCCCAGCCAGATCTAAATTAGGGATGTGTGACTCACAAAAGGCTCAGAGGTTTAGTCTGGAAAAGCATACACAAATCTGGATGCCTAGCCAAAATCGGGATGCCTAGCTAATGATCTGAGCTTTCTGGGGCCCTCTCTACAGAAAGACACACCCAGGCCCAACTTCCTTTTCCCTTGGACTGGTCCCAAGTCCCCCTACCTTCTGATTCCTAGATTGGAAGGCGTAAAGTTCTCCTCCAAAGGACGGGCACCCACTCCCCAACTCAAGGAAACAGCATGGTTTGTTGGAGCTGCTCAATGCCCAGATGTCATGGTGATGAAGGCATTAAAGAACCTCACAGACTCTAAGGCCAGAAGGGACCATCATGATCATCTAGTCTGACCTCCTGCACATTGCAGGCCACCTAACCTCACCCACCCACTCCTGTAATAGACCCCTGACCACTGCCTGAGTTACTGGAGTCCTCAAATTGTGATTTAAATAGAAAGTCTCCCCCTCTTCCAGTGGAAGGCAGAATGGCTGTGGATGTCAGGCCAGGGAGAACGTAATTCTTCCTCCCCTTGTGAGAGGCAGCATGGTTTAGGTAAGGAAAGCCCGAATCTCTCATTTCTGTCTGCATGTGGCCGGCAGCATGTGGAGAGCTCCAAGGTCTTTTTCTCACTCTCCAGATGACACAGTGGTTTCAGAGAGGTGATTTCTGTCCAGGAGGCTTAGAAGATGACAATAAAAATAACAATACTTAGTGCTTGTATAGTGCTTTCTCTTTGCAAAGCACTATGCTAGCACTACATCATTCATCTGGACCAGGGGTCGGCAACCTTTCAGAAGTGATGTCCCGAGTCTTCATTTATTCACTCTAATTTAATTGCGTGCCAGTAATACATTTTAAAGGTTTTAGAAACTCTCTTTCTACAAGTCTATAATATATAACTAAACTATTGTTGTATGTAAAGTAAATAAGGTTTTTAAAAATGTTTAAGACGCTTTATTTAAAATTAAATTAAAGTGCAGAGCCCCCCGGACTGGTGGCCAGGACCCAGGCAGTGTGAGCGCCACTGAAAATCAGCTCGCGTGCTGCCTGCAGCACGCGTGCCATAGGTTGCCTACCCCTGTTCTGGACTTTACCACTGAGAAGCATCTGAACTTTTGGATGTCTGTGTGAAGCAAATCTCCAGGGCTTTTGCAGTTCTCCCATCACTGCTTTTAAACAGTCATGAATTTCAAATCACCAGGAGGGTGAGGTAGCACATAATGACCTCATAGGGTATCAGTTGAAAGTGACATAAGAGAGGCTGTGTGGTTGTGAAGGATGCACTGCTGGTAAGTGTTGGATACTCACACTGGTCTTTACGTTCCCTCTTTTTCAGATGATTGAGAGAAATCCCCATTTAATTGTGGATGGTGTTAGCAGATTTGATATCATTCAAGGAGAAATAGGTAAGATCAAAGGTCTGTTTCAGGGGGTAGCCAGCCTGAGCTGTAGACCGGAGTCCTTTCCTTTGCTGCTGTCTGAGAGCTTGGTTTGGTTTAGTGCACACACTCACAAATCCATAGGGAATCCATCCCAGATATTAAATGCCATTGTCTTTTACAGCGCCTTTGGGCCAAGGCACTTTGATGTCTCAATGACTCCCATCATCCTTTATGTCTGCAGAACTATGGGTGCAGAAGGGTAGGCCCAGACCAGATAGAAAATGAAGTTCCATGTGCCAAATTCAACCCTCATATAAAGTGGGTACAATTCCCATTGTGTGCCCTCTTCTATCAGAATTGGATTTGGCCTCGTGACCTTCTCGTGACCCTGAAGTCCTTGTCTGGTGACTCTCAGCTTTTCTTTTCCACGCTCTTCTCTTTTATTGTCACTACTGACCAGCTTTTCTGATCCATGCATGAGGTATCTGTCTCTCTCCTGCTGTAGCTCCATCCCTTCCCACCCCCCACCCCACCGATCATGTTTCCTTTTGAGAGTAACAAGAGTATTCCTCTTGAAGAAATAGCACTGTCATCAAATGGCTCATCCTAGCTCAGGGTCAGTTGCCTGCACCACTTCCTATCCTGTAGAACTAGGATACCCACAAAGGGAAGGAGCTTCTGTGTGATGCCCAGTGCCTCCGCACAGTGCCTTTGGCTCCCTCTTCCTTCATGGCAGTCAGATACCATAGCGATGGGTGCAGTATAGAAACGTACATGGATGGGTGGCTGAGGCCGAGTGTCTCTGAGTCTTGGACAGTCTGCCCACGTTTTTATTTTATCCAAACTGGTTCTTCCAGTCCTTCTGCAGTAACCCTGTTTCCTAAAGAAAAGTGTTAGAAAGATACAGACCCTGGCAAGGCAGAGGGAGATCATGAGGCAATACGTGTAATTGCATCTGGTTTGTTATTGTCTCCCTGAAGGTGATTGCTGGGTTCTGGCTGCCCTGGGATCTTTGACATTACAGAGGCAATTTCTGGAAAATGTTCTGCCAAAGGACCAAGGATTCAAAGAGAATTATGCTGGGATTTTTCATTTCCGGGTATGTACTATGTGTGGTAGTGATTTTGCTCCACCTTGTTTGGGTGGAGTGTTCAGATGGTTCTGAACTACCACCCCAGATCCAAGCACCCCTGAATTTTGGGGAAGTTCAAATGCTGATCCCCTGCACAAGGATTTTGCAAACGGCCCCCTATTTTCTAATGGGCTGAACCAACCCCCTTGATCCAGACACCCACAATTGTCAGATTATTTGAACCTGGTTCTTAATGTTATGGTTTGAGCCCATTTCTAGTGAATGCTGTTCTTCTTATTAATTAGTGCAAATATGTATTTTTTACAGAAGTCCTGCCTCTCTTTCAAATCTGACAGTTATGACTGATAGTAAATCTGGGTTTGTTGTCCAGTTGATCTTTTTATTTCTGTGTTCTGCAGCTTCACCTACCCGATTCCATCAGCTAGGCAGGAGTCGCCAGCCCTTTAACACTGCTCAGATAACGGGTTTTGATATTTTAAAAATGGGTCTGATTCTAAGGGACAAATCTCTTTGGGAAGAAACTGAAATTTACTAATCTTAAAATACTCAGAATCCCCCAGATAGATATGTTACTATTTTCTGTGCACCACTTATTCAACTCTGAGAGATTGGATTGGGTGAAGGGCAAGTATCATATGATCTGTTCTTAGAGGAGTTGGCATAAGAGGAAGATTTTACATTGGAGTATCACAAAGTGCCAGAAACTAAAGATGGAAATGAACCATTAGATCACCTTGTCCTTTCCCCATACCCAATGCAAAATCATTCTCAAGTGCATTCTCTTTTACTTTGTCCAGTTTAAAGAAGATGATGCTAGCAATGGTGCTTACACAATTTCTCTTGAAAGACTATTCCATAGTGTAACAGATCTTTGTACTAGAATGTTCTTGCTAGTCCTTATGTTCCATTGCTCCTAGTAATACCAGGTGTTTCAATCCTGACTCATCTCCAATATGCAGAGGGGCATTATACAAGATAAACCAGCTGACCATACATTAAAATGAGGCAAACTAGAATTTCTTTCATGAGATTTCCCCAAAAGATTATTTAGGAGCAAACTTTAACTCTCAAGCAATATGAATACATTCCAGTATTTGAAAATATGTTTTCCCTGTCTTCTCACCTTCAAAGCAATACACATCCTTCTCCTTTTCCTCCAACAAGCAGCCAAGACAACAAAAGACTGAATGACAGCATCTCTTCGGTAATACCCTTAAATCATCCCAGCAAAGATATTTTAGTGCTGTCCACATTGTATGTCTCAACATTCAGTTCCAAGTAACATCACAAACAAGGCATCACTTTCATTAGTAGATATAAACATGTCTTATCTTCCTATAGTGTCTTTCATCCTTCAGGATTTCAAAGCACTCTACAGTCCTAAGAGCTGCTGACGGCCTCCTACCAAACGCTGAACCTGCCTCAACTCCCAAAGCAGTCAATGGGAGTTAAGGAGGCTCAGCATCTCACAAGGATTAGATTCTTGGGGTCAAATTTTATCCCTAGTGTAAGTACACTGAAGTTAATGGAGTTACATCAAGGATGAAATGAGCCCTTTGTGTGTACAGGAATCCCTTTACCCATTACAGAAGCACAGCTAGCCCTGGAGTGGAACATGGCAGCCATTAGAACAGTATACTGCAGCCCTGTGCAGCAGCTCAGGCTAAGAAATGAAAAAGTATTTCTTATCCAGTTGAAACCTCTGAAAGAATTAAGGTAGAGTGGAACTGCCTGAGATGGAAACTAGCCATGGCACCAGGATTAATGTCCTTGATCTTGTGAAAAGTTTGATGGGTGCTTGAATGACGACAAATGGTCAGAACTTCGGTTTCAGGGTTCATCCAAGAAGTACCTCCTAACACCATAGTGGGTCACAACCCTGCCTACAGCGGAGAGTTCAATGGCATGAGATTTTTCTTCTTGGCTGCCCCTAGCTCCTGATCCTTGAAGTTTGCCACCTCTACAGACAAATAAAGAAAGGACATAAAAAGGATGACTTTTTTTTTTAACCAGCAAAATCTATTTTCAGTTTACATGAATTGGCACAATAGTGGGTGCAGTCTGCCTCAACAGGACCCTTTTCTATTCAGTTCACAGTCACTTTCTCAGCTGCAGCACCTAAACTCCTCAGGGCTGCCTCCAAACTCTCAGAAATCCCACAAAGCCTGAGTCTCGGGCCAAAAGCCAGAGGTTAGGCCATGGTCACCAGTTCCTGGGTGGATTCAGAGGGCAGAATGCCCCTTATTGAGTGATGAACATCTCTTCTAGCAGCATCCTGGGGTTTGCCTGGAGGACTCCCACCTAAGTGCTAGCCAGGCCAGACCTTCTAAGCTTGTGAGACATGACAAGGTCACAGCCTGAAAGGGTATGGCAATCAGAACATCTGCAACACCCTTTATCCAAGAGAAAACTAGCAAAAGGAAAATGTAATTCAATACTTGGATGCCCTCCTAGACTTTGGTAATCCCCAAACAGCAGGAAGAGTCATACTACATTCTGAACTTTACTTTTGTCTATCTGGATTCAAATTGCAGTAATTCCTCAGACACCTCCTTGTTTATTCTCCAGAAAGACGTTTGTCTGCTATGTTTGCATATGAGGTGCTGCATGAAGGTGTGACTGATTCTCAAACCCAAATCCTTTGGCCCTACAGGCCTGCTGCATGCAGGTTGGTTCTTGCAATGAGCTTTCCCCTGTTGAGCCAGTGCTCTTGGCTGTGGCAGAAAAGGGCTCCTCCTTTTGGAAGGCCAGTGCTTCAGATCTTCCAAGCTCTCTCACATCTGTGTCTTTCTCCTGTGCAGATGTGCCTAAATTAAAGATGGGCTGATCCCAGGGCCTTTTGTCCAGCTGGGCTCTCCTTAAACCTGGGTGGTTCAGAAAAAATAGAACCTGCATTCAAGCCAATCCTGGTTTTACTTTTGCAAAATCTAAAACACTGCTCCTTATCTATCTTCAACCTAAACTAAATGGAAGATTTGGGTTGAGAAAGACTAGGGAGAATTATCAAACCTGCATTCCATTTAGAACCCCAAGCTAGTTTGCCACTGAGGGTACCCACTGCAAATACCAATACTGTTCAAACAGAACAATGCATTCCTGTAATTTTTGCTCACACAGCCATGGAAATATAGCAATGCTGGGACAAATTTATCCCTGGCATAACAGCACAGAAGTCCTTAGCATTACTACAGGTATGGATTTGGCCAGTTGTGATATCAAAGTCCTGCTGCACTACATTAGTTTGCTAATGACTCTAGCAACAGTTCCGTTAGTTCAACCCCTGCTGATCACTCTCCAGCTGGATCAGTCAGAAGAACACCTGTTCTGTCCAGCTGTTGAAGTGGCTAATTGCCTCCTTTTCATTTGTCAAGCTGATGGATAATAGCCCCAACTGTGCCTGTCCAGTACAATCCATGTCAAAGTTTAGAAAGATCTAGATCTAGAGAGGTTTCAGACACAGGAAAGAGAGGGAAAGGACTATCCAAAGACTATCTCTTGGTGAAGAGCATCTCTGAACCTGAGATGTACCCAAGAGAAGCTCCATATAGAGCTGAGTAGCGAGGCGTACCACTTTGTTTGGACACTTAGTTTTCTGCCCTTTTCGAAACACCTGCCTTAGTCCAGTCATGGTAATACTTACTCACCTACATGTACTTTTCCTCCCATGTAATTCCAGAGCTCTTTGTGTCCAGAAATGACCCACCACCGAAACGTAGCCACTTCTAAAATGAAATTCAGCACCTATTTAACAGTACACAGCAACAGTACAAAGTAGCTTATGAGAGAAAGCAAAGAAGTTACTTACATTCCTGGTTTACATTCACTCTTGGCCTATTTCTGGAGACTGTCATTTGGCAGCACTATTTATTCTTACAATCGTTTTTTTTTCTTTTCTTCCCTTTTTTCCAGTTCTGGCATTTTGGAGACTGGGTGGATGTGGTGATAGATGACCGGCTGCCTTTTCTCAATGGGAGGTACCTGTCTGTTCAACCGTGCAGCAGAAATGAATTCTGGCCATCCCTGCTAGAAAAAGCATATGCCAAGTAAATATACCCGCCAAGTCTGTCTTTCCTGCCATCGCTGAGTCTTGTGCTTGTGTGGCTATATGTTGTGCCAACTGCTTTGGACAAAGTACCTTGTGTAGTGTTGTTCAGGACCATGGTCCAATATTTTGAGCACTGGATATGTAATGAACGGTGGCTGCACATTCTTGCAGATATTACAGGTTAAAGACTGTAGATTTTAAACTGAAGATCTAAAGTTCCCTGGTTCTCTTATGTGCTTTTCTTTCCGAGAGGCAGTATGGTCCAGTGGATAGGCCATTGGTATGGGTCTCAGGAGACCTAGGTTCTATTTCTGGGCCAGCTACCAATCTGCTGTTTAGCCTTGGAGAAGTCACTTCATCTCTGTTTTCCCTCCCACATTTTCTCTATTTAGACTGTAAGCCTTTTAGGGCATGGGTTGTCTCTCATTGAGTGTTTGCACAGAAAGGGCCCCCAGTCTCAATTGAGGCCTCTAGCTTCTACCTTAATACTAATAATGAATAAAACTACAGTCATCAGTGGGGACCGAACTTTGGATTCTCAGCATCAAAAGCAAAGTCCTGTCTTACCTGAGTTAAAGAAGAACACTTCAGCTGTGAGTAAGTAGCAAGTTGTTATACTCACTGAGACCTGCAACTAGGAGCTATGACATAAATTAAGTCAGTGTATTACCTATATAACACAGGGAGTGCATTAAGCACATAGTGGGTCACTCATACTCACTCATGCCCGTCACCCCAATCGGGGTATGGGCCGCCAACCACAGATCTCCAGAGTCCTCTATCCTGGGCCATTTGCTCTAGCTGGTTCCAGGTATAGCCCATTTTTATGCTATCAGCCTGAAGGTCGCGTCGCCAGGTATTTCTTGGACGGCCTCTTTTCCGCTTGCCTTGGGGGTTCCACTGCAATGCCTGTCTAGTGATGTTGGTTGGCTGCTTGCGTAGTGTGTGTCCTATCCAGCCCCACCTTCTCCTTCTAATTTCTTCCTCTGCTGGAAGTTGACGGGTCCTCTCCAAGAGGTAGATATTGCTGATTGTGTCTGGCCAGCGGATCTGAAGAATCCTTCTAAGGCAACTATTTATGCTTGGACAACACGAAGCCTACTCCCTGT